AATTTTAAGCATTAACTGTTCCCTTCACTAAACAAATAGAAATTAGTAGTACAGTCATCTTAGCTATTCTATGTTTATACATATATTTTCCCTTCCTTGTTTCTTCCTTTTCTCCTTTCCCTCATCTCGTGGTTCTTTCCTTTTCAGTACTCTTTTTTTTTTTTTTTTTAATGTATTTGGCTTAGGGTCTCACTGTACAGCTCAGGCTTATAGTGATCCTTTTGTTTTCAGGCTCCCCAGTGCTGGAATTATAGGTGTGCACCACCGTGCCCAGTCCTGGTGGCTGGCTCAGTGTGCCCAGGGGTGGGACCGACATGGGTGGGCTGGGGATCAAGCCCCATTCCCCTTCCTTGCCTAGGCAGGTGCTTAGTCTGCTGAGCTATCTCGCTGGCCCTGGTTCTTTCCTTTTGAGTAAATTCTTTTCCTTTTACTATATCTACTGTTCCTTTCAGATATTTCCTCTTTCAGGTTTGTACACTAGGGACACAATACAATGTTTACACATGGGGTCTGATTTTTTTCTCTTGTGAGAATAGCCTCTAGTTGCATCCATTTTTCTATAAAGGCCCCGAGTTGATCTTCATAGTTCAATAATACTCCATTGTATAAAAATACCACATCTTTTTTATTTATTCCTCAGTTGATGGGCATTTTGGTTGTTTCCAAGATTTAACTATGACAAATTGCACTGCTGTAAACATGAGTGCACATATGTCACACAGGGGTGGCATAATGTTTTTGGGTCTTCTGGGACAATACCCAGGAGGGGAATAGTGGGGCCGAATGGGACCTCTAATCCTAGTTTTTGAGGATTCTCCACACTGATTTCAATAGTGGTTGCACCAGTCTACACTCGGAAGGGTTCCTTTTTCCCCACAGCCTTTCCAGGATTTGTTATTAGTTGACTTCTTGATGATAGTCATTCTTTCTGGGGTGAGATGGAATCTCAATGTTATTTTAATTTACATTTCTTAAATGACAAATACTGTTGAACATTTTTTCATATATTTACTTGCCATTTGTATTTCTTCCTCTGAGAAGTGTGTATTTATCTCAAATGCCAGTTTTTGGATTGGGTCTTTGAATTTGGGAGCCTGATTTATTAAAATTATATGTTCTAGCGGATGGTGAGATGGCTCAATGGTCTAAAGCACCTACTTAGAACAAGCTTAGCAAAGTACAAGGGATGGCGGTTCAATCCCCCAGCACCACATGCCAGCCAGCCCTGCCCCCAGGTGGGCTGAGCTGGCCACACACACACACACACAAATAAATAAATAAATAAATATTTAAAAAAAATATATATATATAAAAAAAAATTATATGTTCTAGATAGAAGTCCTTTGACAGTTGGCTAAGATATTTTTCCCAGTTTGTGGGTTTTCTTTTCACTCTGTTGATAATTTCTTTTGATGTGTCAAAATTTTTTAATAGGATAAGATCCAGTTGTTGATCCTTTGAAGTATTTCCTGTTCAGTTTTGTTTTTGTTCACAAAGTCCCTGCCTGCTCCTGTGTCTTAAAATTTTCTACCTATTTTCTCTTCCAGTAGATTTAGTGTTTCTATTTTAATATTTAAACCTTTGATCCATTTTGACATTAGTACATGGTGATTGACATGGCTCTGGTTTAATCTTTGGCATGTGGGAAGCAAGTTTGTCTAACACCATTTATTAAAGAGGTTATCTTTCTTCCAGTGAACATGTTTGGCCCCTTTGTCAAAGATAAGGTAGCTGAGTTTGTTTGCAGTTGTGTCTGCATCTTCTAATATGTTCCATTGATCTGCAGGTCTGTTTTTGTTTGTTTTTGGCCAGTACCATGCTGATTTTATCACAGTAGCTTTGTAGTATAATTTCAAGTCAGAGATTGTATTGTGTCCTGCTTTGCCTTTGTTGGCCAGGATTGCCTTTGCTATTTTAGGTCTCTACCAGTCCCAAATGAATTTTAGGAATGTTTTCTCTTGATCTGTGAGGCATGTCATTGGTGTCTTGATTGAGATTGC